CAGGAGTTTCTTCTGAGTCTCCCACATGGGTTCCAGGGCCCAAGGACTTGGGCCATCTACAACTGCTTTCCCAGGCCATACCACAGAGCTGGATCAGAAGTGGAGTAGCTGGGACATGAACCAGCACCCATATGGGATGCTGGCACTGCAGGCAGAGGCTTTACTCTCACTCAGCCACAGCGCCAGCCCCCACTCTATTAACTTTCATTGCAAATAGCCAGGCACCCTGGAATTAGGTGCATATAGATCCCTTAATCATTACATAATGCCTTTATTTTTCTCTTTTAACAGTTTTTGTGTTAAAGTCTATTTTGTTTGATATTAGGATGGCTACACTTGCTCTTTGTTACTTTCCATTAGCATGGAATATCTTTTTCCATCCTTTCACTTTCAACCTGCATGTATCTTTATTGGTGAGGTGTGTTTCTTGTAGGCAGCAAAGATGAATCTTGTTTTTTAATCCATTCAGTCTGTATCTTTTAATGGACAATTTAGGTGATTTACATTCAAGGTTACTACTGATAAGTAATGACTTGGTCCTGCCATTTTTCCATAATTATTCCTATTGTTTGCTTTGGATTTTCTTTGCACTTTTACTGGGATATTTTCTGCCTTCACATTCTTTCATAATGATGACTACCTTTTTTGTGTTTCTGTGTGTAGCACATCCTTAAGCATCAACTGTAAGGTTGGATGTGTGGTGACAAACTCTTTCAATTTCTGTTTGCTATGGAAGGTCTTTATTTTATCTTCATTCATAAATGAGAGCTTTACAGGATACAGTATTCTAGACTGACAGTTTTTTTTTTTTAAGACTAGGACTATGTCTCTTCATTCTCTCCTAGCCTGCAGAGTTTCTGATGAGAAGTCAGCTGTGAATCTAATTAAGGATCCTCTGAATATAATCTGGCATTTCTCTCATGCACATTTTAGAAACTTTTCTTTTTGTTTAGGTGCTGAAGGTCTGACTATAATGTGTCATGGTGAAGATCTTCTCTGGTCATATCTATTAGTTCTATGTGCCTCATGTACTTGGAATGTCCCCTTCTTTCTCCAAATTAGGGAAGTTCTGCTATTATTTCACAGAATAGGCCTTCTAACCCATTCTCTCTTTCTACACCTTCAGGAACTCCTAAGACCTGTATCTTAGGTCATTTTATAGTATCCCATAAATCTCCAACACTGTTTCTAAGTTTTCTAATTTCTTCTTTTTTCTTTCTTTCTTTTTTTTTTTTTTTTTGGTCTGATAAATTTCCAAAGATTTGTCTTCTAGCTCAGATACTCTTTTTTTCTGCCTCACCATGTCTTTTGCTGAGGCTTTCCACTGAATTTTTATTTGACATACTGAATTCTCATTTCTAATATTTCAGTTTGATTTCTCTTCAAAATCTCAATCTCATGGGAGAATTTTTCTTCCATGTAATGTGTGTATTTCTTTACTTTGTGGATTTGCTTCTCATTGCTTCTGAATAATCCTATGATTAATCTTTTGTTTCCTCAGTGTTCCAGTGTGGTGCAAATATCCAGGGTGACACCCAAGTTGGGTGTGTTAGATCTTTTTTGTCAGCAGGGAAGAGGACATGGTCACCTCTCTTGGTATAATCACACCTTCACCTCGTATCTTCCAAGGTGATCAATGCCCTGGGTTAGCCCACTGTGGCTGCAAGACTCACCCATGCTGCCATATAAGCCACCCAAAGGATCTGTGCATTTCTCATGTGAACATGGATCCTGCTACAATGACCCTCCTCATACAATCAGGGAGCTCTGAGCCTTTGGCGTCACACACAGTGATTGCCCAGAGACCCAGATACATCCTACAACGCAGTCAGAGTTCCCACAGTCTCCGCACACAAGGCTCCCACAGTCACAGGCTGCAGAGGGTCCGCTTCACCCTGCTATGTTATCCTGTCCATGGAGAGGCAGACCTGTTTTCAGAGCCAGCTGCTTGTGGCTGCTCCACATAGGTGGTTTGAACCCCTGAGCCTGTGATATGTTGAGAGACTACTGGTGTCAAAATGGCACCTTGTTCCTGCCAGTTGCTGGGCACGGGCACAAGAGCCACTGCAGCTGCTACTGATGTCAAATGGCCCCCTCTGCCAACTGGTTGTCAGAAGGCATTGTGGCAGGATAGGGAGAGAAAATGCATCCCTTTTTTTTGCTGGGTTAGGTGAGTACCCTGTCCCCCTTAAGGCCCCAGGCTGGACTCAAAGACAGTGTACTTTGCCAGTCACTCCAGCTATACTGCCAGTGGTACAGGCTTCTGCAGCCTGCTCTCATCTCATTCTCCAAAGCTAGCACTTCCTCTGGCTCTTGGCTGTGGGGTCTTGTAGTGTCTGTGCTTGTAGCTGGGTGTCAGCACCCTCTAGGCCAATCCACATTGTCCTTCTTCCTTCTGTAGAATTTTCACTGCAGCTTTCTCTCCAACTCTTCCCTGGGAATGTATTTCTCCCACTTTTTTACTTCTATTTTCCCCTGACCTAAAGCAGTGCACAGTTTCCCTTTTCCAACTGGGAATCCCAAATGTCTTCAGCTTTCATAGACACTTTCAATTCCTGCTGTGCTATCATACTTCTTTAAAAATAATTTTCATATTGTATCATTGTTTATAAGCCTGCTTTCCAGTCAGAAAATGTGAGAATAAGTATGTTCTATGCTTGATAAGGGTCAGATTAGTGTATTATCATCTATAAATTCTCCAAGTCAAGTAGAACACACTTAGCACACATGACACCTTATTATATCTGTTATCAGAATCCATCCTAATAGTTAATGATCATACATGTCATATGGCTGTAACTAAACATTCATAGATGATTGTATATGCAGATCTTTTCAGAACATCACTACCTAATATGGTAGCCAGTAGCGGCTCCAATGTGGCTAGGGAACATTGAAAAATAAACCTAATATGAATCAAAATTTATTTCAAGTATAAAATAAACACATTTCAAAATGTGAATTATCTTACCAATAAATTTTATATTGATTATATTCATATGTTGAATACTTCAGATATATGAGGCTAAATGCATTACCAAATTAATTTCACCTATTTCTTTTTACTTATCTCAAGATGGATAGTAGAACATTTTCTAACTTTTAAATTTATTTTTATTTATTTGAAAGGCAGAGAGAGGAGAAAAAAAGAGATGGAGAGGGGCAACCAGAGATCTCCTACCTACTGGTTCATCCCCAAATCCCCACAACAGCTGAGGCTAGGCCAGGCCAAAGTCAGGAGCCAGGAACTCCCTCTAGGTCTCCACATGGGTAGAAGAGACCCAAGTACTTGAACCATTCATCTGCCGCCTCCCAGAGTGTGCATTAGCAGGAAGTCTGGCTTGGAAGTGAAGCTGAAACTAGAACCCAGGCAGTCTGATACAGGATATGAGTGTTGAAGAGGAGTCTTAATAGCTGTACCAAACACCCATCTCTAAAATATTTTTTTTAAATATTTAGTTTATTTGAAAAGCAAAGTGACAGAGAAAGGGATAGATAGAGAAAGAAGGTATGCTGATTCACCCCCCAAATGCCCACAACAGCCAGGAGCCAGGAACTCCACCCTTATCTTCCACATGGATAGCAGGGGCCCAAGCACTTGAGCCATATTCTGCTGCTTTCCCAGGCACATGAGCAGGGACTGGAGCCTAAGTGGAGCAGCTGGGACTCAAACTGGTACTCTGAAATGGGATGCTGGCTTTGCAGGTAGATGTGCTACAACACCAGCCACAAAATATTTCAAATTATGCATGTAGTTCACATTTTATTACAAGTGCTGTTCTAGAAGGTACTAAGTTAATTATGGGAAACTAAGGGATAAAAATTTGGAGACTAGACAGCTGGCTTCCTTACAGCAAGAATCCTTGTATAGCTCTAACACTTTACCAGCTAGTAGGACTGGCCTATTCAAATGGATGCTATAGGGACTTGAAAAGCTGTAGGCATCTAAGAATAAAAATGTACTGTCTTGGTGAACTAACTCTTTTAAAGATGTTTCATTGTAATTTTTTTGAAAAAAAAATTAAGGTTTATTTATATATTTGAAAGGCAGAACAACAAGGAGAGAGGGAAGACAGAGTGAGATAATTCATCTACTGGTTCTCTCCCCAAATGTCCACAATAGCCAGGGCTGGGCCAGGTAGAAGTCAGAAGTTTAGAACTCCATCCAGGCACTCAGACCATCTTCTGTTGTTTTCCCAGGTGTATTCGCAGGGAGCTGGATAAGAAATGGAGCAGCCAGGACTAAAACCAGCACTCCAGTTGGGATGTTGCCATCTGAAGCCACAGCTTCACCTGCTGTGCCACAATGCTGGTCCCCATGTGATCCTACTTTCTAACACTGCTCTAAAAGCACATGATAATAGCAAAGGGACAGTCAAAAGGCCCTACTGCTTTCACTTGTTTCCTTTTGGACACCTTATCTGCTTCCTTCTTTACTTCACTGGGTTGATTTGGATCCCCTGCATGGAAAAAAACTAGAAAATATAAATCTTATTTTTACCAAAAAATAAAAACCATAAACTCCATGTGTGATTTTTCTTTAAAAAATGTTACTTATTTTTATTTTATTTACTTGAAAGACAAGGAGATGAAAGAGAAAAAGAGACAGTGAGAGAAAGAGAGAGGGAGATAGATAGAAGGTGCTCCCATTCACTGGTTCACTCCCCATATGTCCAAGGCAATAAGGGCAGGGCCAGGTTGAAGTTTAGAACTGGGAACTCAATCCAGGTCTCATTAGGGTGCCAGGGACTCAACTATTTAAGCCATTACTCCTGACTCCAAGGGTGAGCATTACAGGATACCAGAATCAGGAGCCATAGGTGGCTGTCAAACCCTGGCAATGGGATGTGGGCATCTTAATGGCTAGGCCAAACACCTGCCCCTACAAATCCCATCTTTAAACCACCCTTTAGTTACATGTTCTTTTCTCAAATTTGAAGTGGGTCTAGATTCTCTGGATTAAGAGAAATAAGCATTTAATCATTTTTGTCATTACTAACCTGCATTTCGTATTTCAGAGTCATGTGGAAGCACCAGGATCCCATTCCTACCACTGAAATTAAAACAAATTTTAAAAATTAGCATAAAATTCTTTGGGATTATCAGAGTGACTTGAGAAGACAATAAGATATTTCAAAGCATTGATTTTAAAGGAAAACAAAAGTACAGGATAAATATTTCTCTCAAATTCCCTATACTAAGTGATTTACTAGACCAACATATTCCACTATTTCTAAAACACATAATCTGACACTCAGGTAAGCTTTAATGTTTACAGCTGGTTAGCTACTCTTTGGTACTCCCTTGTACTTCGGATCTAAATTGCTGTGCTGTATGCTTACTAAGAGACTCAGTTATGTTTGTTATCAATCCTGTTGCTGCTACTGAATTTAGTTATCAGAAATATGACTGCAAAAAGAGAGCTGTTGTTTCTATATGAACCATTTTAGATGCTACAACAGATTCAGTAAGAGTGAGTTGCTAATAACAACTGCTGTTGAATTAGATCTGAGAGAGGTTTCTGCTAAAGTTTGGGAAAAATAGTAAAAACTTAAAAATATTCTGTATTCATGTGTTAAGTTCTTCCACCAACTGCCTGAATTTTAAAAGAACTGTTTTTGTTTTAGAGTATTAAAAACTGTCTTTTTAAAAAAGATTTATTTATTTATTTATTTAAAAGTCAGAGTTACACAAAGAGAGGAGAGGCAGACACAGAGAGAGAGAGAGAGAGGTCTTCCATCTGTTGGTTCACTCCCTAACTGGCTGCAACGGCCAGAGCTGTGCCAATCCAAAGTCAGGAGCTGGGAGCTTCCTCCAGGTCTCCCACATGGGTGCAGGGGCCCAAGGACTTGGACCATCTTCTACTGCTTTCCCAGGCCATAGCAGAGAGCTGGATCGGAAGTGGAGCAGCTGGGACTCGAACCGGCACCCATATGGGATGCCAGCACTGCAGGTAGTGGCTTTACCCACTATGCCACAGCACCAGCCCCAAAAACTGTCAATTGTAATACACAAAACACTAAGTAGAATTAAATTTAGGGTCCCATATTCAGAGGTCATGTCCTACATCAAATCTTTCTCAAAGACTATACAACTGGATGTGTTAACAAAAATAAAACTTAAAGAGGGTGTATGCGTATGTATGTGCATATATATATATACATATATATATTTTTTTTCAACTTCAAAAAAAATCAACTGACTAATCAGCCCTTATAACATCTAAGAACAGGACTTCTTCTCTGATTAGGTTCAGTTCAGCATTTACTAAGCACTTCCTATTTGCCAAATTCAGTTCAGAGGCTGAGGTACAAAGATCAGATCTACTCATTGGCTTTTTTTTTAAAAGATTTATTTAATTTATTTGACAGGCAGAGTTACAGAGAGAGGTAGAGACAGAGAGAGAAGTCTTCCATCCGATGGTTCATTACACAGATGGCTGCAATGGCTGAAGCTGTGCCAATTTGAAGGCAGGGGCCAAAGAGCTTCCTCCAGGTCTCCCACACGGGTGCAGGGGCCCAAAGACGTGGGCCATCTTCCACTGCTATCCCAGGCCATAGCAGAGAGCTGGATCAGAAGAGGAGCAGCCGGGACTAGAACCAGTGACCATATGGGATGCCAGCACTTCAGGCCAGGGCATTAACCCACTGAGCCACAGCGCCAGCCCCCCCCCTCCTTTTTTTTTTTTTTAAAGATTTATTTTATTCCATCATTGGCCTTTGAAAAAGCAAATGTTCTAATGGAGGAGCCAGGCAAAAGGAGCCTGTGCATGGAGATATGTAGAGTGCTGTGGGAGCACAGAGGAGGGACATTGTAAAGGTAATCTGAGAAAGCACGAATGACAGTAGAGGATGTATAGGAGTTATCCCAACAAACATGCTGAGTAGGAATATCACCAAATAATTTATAGATGCCACATGAGAAAAAATTTAAGGTATTTGTTACTCCTGCCTTTTTAAAAAGTCACAACACAAAACATTGTCATTACATTATTTTTACTCCTCAAAATAAGATGGGAAAAATAAAAATAGATTCTACACTCATTTTACCAGAGATAGCTAATGTTTTACTTTGTTTTGTTTCCAAATGATAAATTAGAAGGTTCAAAGATGGAAAAATTATTTAAGGGAAGGAAAAAACCCATGTGAGTTACCTAGTCACACAATGCACTATGAAATACAAAAATAAAAATGAAGCGGGCTGTGTATCCTGAAAGGCAGAGCAGCCTCTTCACTTTGCCTTACTCATGGACTGTTCTATTCAAACTCTTTCAAAATGTTTTCTTGTTACTTTATATTATATAGCATTAAATGCCTGGTTTTTCTATTTTAAAAACATTTTTAATGTATTTGACTTATTTGAAGGCAGGGACACACACACACACACACACACACAGTGCTCCCATCCATTGGCTCAATCCCCAAATGCCTGCAACAGCCAGGCGCTAGAAACTTAATCCAGGTCTCTGGCATGGGTGGCAGGGACCTGACTACTGAGCCAGCTCTTGCGGCCTCCCAGGAGTACATTAGTAAAAGGCTGGAATTTGACGCAGAGCCACGACCCAAATGTGATGCAGGCATCCCAATGGCATCTCAGCCACTAGACCAAACTCCCGCCAGTAAATGTCTGATTTAATTTTAAGAGATCACTACAATTTGTTTCCATTCAACAATCTGGGCAACACATAAAACAGGATTCTGAAGGAAAATCCATTCAATAGCTATAGGGTTACAAATTCCTTTTGGACTTGGTGGAGGGGGCATCTTTAGATTTAGACCTCCATTTTCTTTATTTTCATAATTTCCTTTATAAATTACTCTGCTGCAATGGACATTTCTTTACATAGCGAATACAAAGAGATGTAACAGAACAGCATCACCTTTCTCCATACAGTATTTTCTATGTTGCCCTTTAAAGCAAACTATAAGTTTATGCTACAGTTTGTTTATACTTGTCTTATTGAGGTATATTCACATACCATTAAACTGATTCATTTAAAGTATACAATTCATTGAGGGTGGTGGGAAATTGGGTGTAGCAGTTAAGAATGTCTAGGTATGAGTCTCAGCTCTGTTCCTGAATCCAGCTTCCTACTTTCCTACTAATGTGCACCTTAGGAGCCAGCAGTGATGACTCAAGTGACTGGGTCCCTGCCACCCACCCATGCGGGAGACCTGGATTGAACTCCTGGCTCCCAACTTCGGCCAGGAGCAGCCCTGGCTGTTGTGGGCATCTGAAATGAACCAGTGAAGGGAGATCTCTGTCTCTCTTCCTCTATCTCTGCTTTTCAAATTAAACATAAATAGTTTTCAAAATATAAGTATTATCTGTTAATCAAAAATTTTAAAAAGCATGTAATTCAGTTGTTTTGGTATATTCAGAATTACACAAATATCATATTAACCTACATTTGGAATATTTTCAATACCCCCAAAAGAAACTCCATGTATATTAATGATCGTTCTACATTTTCCCTCAATCCTTCTGGTCCTAGGTAATCATTAATCAACATTTTGTCTCTATAATGCCTATTCCGGCCATTTCATATAAATGAAACCATGCAACCAGTCTTTCATGTCTAGTTTCTTTCACTTAATAATATTTTTAATATTCATACATACAGTAACAGGCATCAGTGCTTCATCCCTTTTATAGATGAGAAATATTCCATCATATGGACATACTACACTTTAGCTTTCCATTCACCAGGTGATGGATATTGTTATGGACTGGATTGACTGTATTTCTCCAAAATTCATCTGTTGAACCTATCCTCCAATGTAACAGTATCTGGAGGTGAGAGCTTTGGGATGTAATTTGGTTTAGATGAAGTCATCATCTTATGTCCTTATAAGAGGAAAAGATCAAAGCTTGTTCTCTGCACAGAGCAAAACCACGTGTCTGTAAGCCAAGAAGAGGGTCTTCACCAGGACCTCCATTAGCCCACACCTTGATCTTGGACTTCCCAGTCTCCAGAGCCATGAGACAAATGTTCACTGTTTTAGCCACCCAGTCTAAGGTGTTTTGTTATGGCAGCCTGAGCTAAGGCAGACAGCTGTTGTTTCCACATTTTGGCCATTATAAAAAGCTGCTGTAAACATTGATAAACAGATTTTTACGTGGACTTAATGTTTTTCTTCCTCATAGATGTATACTTAGGAGTAGAAATACTGGGTCATATGGTTTAACACTTTCAGGAAGTATATTTTAAATCAGCCATACCATTTTACATTCGTACCAGCAATATATGAAATTTCACTATAATCTTATCAATACCTACTGTCTGACTTAGTGATGACTGCCATCCCAGTAAATGTGAGGTGGTAATTCATTATGATTTCAACCAGCATTTCTCTGATGAAGAACCCATTCCTTTTCAACAAATATTCACTCTGTACTTAATGCTCCGAGCATTTCCACTGAGCAGAAGGGGTGAACAACAGAAATGTGGTTTCTACCTCAGAACTTTATCCAAACCATGAAAATTACAAAAAGGAAGGTTTCAGGACTATGGTAATCTCTTCAAAGGGTAATTAATTACTTCATATAGGGGGTCAAAAGACACATTTAAGCTAGGAGTTGAAAAATAAACTGGAGTTTTTTTTTTTTAAGGGATTATCCTATGTAGAAAGATTATGCAGAGTTAATTCAGATTAATTTTTAAAAAATAAAGAGAGCTTGGATTAGACCACCAATGATTTGGAATAGGAATCTGATAATGAGACTGGCATGGCTTTAAGGAGCTTGACTAATAAGAGCTTTTAAATCCATGTTAAAACCTGATTCAGGGGCCAGAGTTGTAGTTAAGTTGTCATCTGTGACACAGACATGCCATATTGCAATTCCAGCTCCAGTCCCAGCTGCTCTACTTCTGATCCAGCTTCCTGTTAATGCACCCTGGAAGGCAGCGGAAGATGGCCTAAGTTTTGGGTATCAGCCACCCATGTGTTAAGATAGAGTTCCTGGGTCCTGGCTCCTGGCTTTGGCCTGGCCCAGACCAGGCTATTGTGGCCATTTAGGGAATGAACCAGTGGATGGATGATCAATCTGAAT